AATATTATTCCATAGGCGCGGATGGCTGGAAGGAAGAAGAAGAAGGGTGGACGAGTGGTGGAACGGATAACGAGGGCGTTAATCGCGCGTGGAAGGAGGGGAGGGGGAGAGGAGGTGAGTTCTTGGGGCGTTTGCAGCTTTGCCGTCGAGGATGTTTGAGGAATCGAGCTCCATCGGGGCGGAAATTGACGGTTTTCGTAGGGTGTCTCTTCCCTTTTTTTTTTTTCTTTTCTCTCCCCTCGTTTGTGCGGGGTAAATGGAGGAAATAATGATAACAGGCACGGGTCTAACGGATAGAGAACAATTTCTCTGTGAAGGTGATGGGATATAACGTATATAGACGAATTGAAAGGTAGAGAAAATAAGAGACGGAAATTTTTGTATAGCTTCTTTCTCTACCAACAACGCATCAATATGTTTTGTTTGCTATTAATAATTCGTAGATTAGAAATGTAGATAGAAACGTTGATAGTTGAAAAAAATTAAATTCAAATCAATGACATTACTAGAGAAAAAAAAAAAATTAAATCGACCCACGTGTGTCTATTGTAATGCAATGACTCCGCATATAATAATAATATTAATAATAATAATATTAATAATAATAATAACAACAACAAGAACAACAACAACAACAACAACAACAATAATAATAATAATAATAATAACAACAACAATAATAATAATAAAATTAATAATAATAATAATAATAGTTGATCTTGAATCAAATATATTGCTTCAATAATTAAAGCGTATCGAAAATTTCGAAATTTCCCTCGCGAAATTTCAGCGGAAGAATGATAAAAAAAAATGGTAGAGGGGGGAGGGGAAGGTGAAGGAAAGAGAAGAAAGGTGGAAAGGATCGGTCGTAAACCCGGATCCGAAAAAAAAAAAAAAACAACCGTTAAATAAACGCGAGTTTGCTCGTAAAACCGCGTAACATCCTCCATCTTTCTGCAAACGCGCGCGCAATTATCGGGCGATTACAAGAGTCGTAAAAGGGAGGGGGAAGAGGTTTTTCAAATTTTCCGCGGCGAGTCCCTGTTACAATACCCGCAGCCAGCCAAGCATTACTGGTGGCGTATGCAGAAAAGTAGCATGAACGAAGAGAAGACAACGAGAAGTGCGGTTGAATGGCGCGCATCGCGTATCGCCGCACTTCCTGGGATAAGCGCGGCTTTTTTCTTTTTTTTTACGATGGAATAAAATGCAAGCGGCGCGCATCCGACCGATGTTTTTTTCAGAGAAACGCGACGAGAAGAGGAGGGGGGAAGAAGGGAAAGGATTGACTTCCTTGTGGCAAAGAAGAATCTTGGGATAGAGTCGAACGTGATGGTATCGGTTATATTACTTCCGCTTTTAACGAACCTTGTACAATGGGAAGAACGAAAAGAAGAGCAATTTCGTGTATCCGTATACGGATCTATATATAGAGAAAGATATGAGGCGCAAAAGTTTCTGTACAATAAATATAATAATAAAATTTTGACGATTTATTATTCGTAAAATCAAATATAATATTACGAGGATCGAAATACAAGCAATTGTTTAGAGTTATTTTTCTACTTGTGTGCTTATTAAAGTGAAGTTTAATCTATTCTGTGATTTTTAAAGGAAGATAAGTATAATAAACGTGTTTTTGTAGTATATTAATGGAGAATTGTAATGGAATTTCATTGGTAGAAGGAAACGTCTATTTTTCACACGCATTTTTCTTTCTACCACGATATTTCTCACGTGTACTATCCAAAACGACGATCTGCATCTAAATCTCGATATACCAGCGTAGCCATAAAATCCAGAAAATTCTAACGTATCGATATGATATAAACATTTTTTTATTTCTCGTAATATAGACTAATCATGATTTTTAACATTAGTTTAATTTATAAATTAATAATTTATAATTTTTTATGTTAATATTACATCAAAATAATTAATAATTTCGAAAATATTTCCTTTCATAAAATGAAAATAATTTTAAATATTCAACAAATTATAGTTCTTCCACCATTACATGGTGTCAGGATCGTCAACAAAGAGAAGTGTGAAGTGGGGATAGACGGTCCTAGCGAAGGACCCCTCTTGCCCCTGTGCCGTCCCGCGAGTCTTCTTTCGAACCAGTGAACGCGCAATGTCCATCGTGCCAATCGTGTTCGTGTAACGAAAGAAAGAATTTACCGAGAAAAAACAAAATAGAATCATTCCGACATTCGTATCCTCTCCTCTGTTCGTTCATTTTCGCAAAACGAACTCTGTTCACAATTCTCGCATTGTCCGGTTTAATCTATCGTTAAATACCTAACCTATAATTTCTAATAACTTCGAATCGAGGTACATCGTTGCGCACGATTATTTGGCATGATAGTATCCCAGCAGTTGGATAGATGGAGCGGTGGTGATTCAAAGTCAGTTAATAGGGAATTCTGCCGGACCGTTATACGGCCATTTCTAACGACTACTCGCGTAATTGGTATTCGATTACCAGTGCGATTCACGAATCGACGACTCTCGCTTCGATCATTCGAATTGTGGGCGACAATTCGAAATCGAATTTTTTATTTCGAAAACGTGATACCGTAATGTTATTTCCAATAATTTAATTTTCTAAAAATAATGTAAATTTTAATCGCGTGTGCTACGTTGTTGTAACGCAATAGGCGATATATATAACGATGAAAGATATAAATTTTGGAATAATTATACGTGTAATAACGAGATTAATATATATAAAGACGAAGAAAAAGTGCACAGTATTATCTTGTGATCGTTAGATGAAGAAAATTGTTATTGTACGTATTGCATGACTCGTATCTATTACCTGCACACCTGTGTATAATCAACGAAAAAAATATGTATACCACGATTATGAAATTAGTCGACGAAAATACAGGAACATGTTTAATCAAAAAATAAATTTCAACTTTTTTGATCAACACTTTTCATAAGAATGGCGGCTAGATATCACTGTTGGAATATTCAATGTAAAATATAAACGTAATAATAATAAAAATAAATTCAACAACAATTTATTTCAACAAAGTTATACTACATTGGACGTATTAATCCTGTGAGAAAAAATCGGTCATTCGGCTCAAACAACTTCATTCCTCGTCAAAGAATAATATACATAAATAATTACAACGAAAATAAAATCTCAGAATCATTTTTGCTTCGAAGAGAAACTTAAAAAAACTCTTAAATACTCATCGATTCAAACAACTACTAACCTTTCACAAAAATAAGTCAAAGCAACATTATTTCATAACCTATTTCCATAATCTCCCTAACCTAACCTAAAATCATTAACAAATCCGGCCAGATAAAAATTAAACAACCATCGTAAATTTCTATCGAGAGATAATAAAATTAAAAACAATTAAAAAACGATTAAATACAAAAAAAAAGTAAAGAGAAGAAAAAAAACGAATAAGTTACGATGATTTAAATGGCTTCGAACGACGCGAGAAAAAAAGAAACGAGGAAGGAGAGGGGTGGAAAGAGACGGGTGAAAAATGATGGAAGCGAAAACTTTTATCTCGTAGGATCGAAGAGAGGATGATTCGTGCACGCAGGTTGGCGACCTGTAATTCGTACGCGGCATCGGGGAGACCGTTTCCGTAATCCCTGTGAAGCTGGTGAAACGCGACCCCTGGGTCCGATTTTTGCTCGTTGGTTCGAGGGCGGAATGCAAAACGCGTCACCCCCTCCCCCTATGTCGATACGAATCGACGAATCGAGGTTAACCGTGCGCGATCAAGATCGGGACCATTCATGCAAATTAAAATGTTTCCTGGTGGAAAACATGGTGGAATGGCTGGGTTGGATTTTGAAATTTTTTCGTTTTGTTTAGAAACTGTCGTAAATTTAAATTTTGGTATTCGAAGAGCGATGTAAAAATCAAAATCAAAATTGCAATAACGTGGACGAGGTAAGTAAATTGTCCCTTGATACATTTGAAAATTAGGAAGGGATGTATAAGCGGTGTAAATCATATGGAAAAATTTAATTAATGTAAAAAGGAATATAATTCTCTCTCCACTGTATTTTTATTTTCTCCGATTTCAACATTGTATTGGATTTAATCTGTAATATAAGTTTCGATATATATTTCAAGTTTAGAATTACTAGAAAAATTATTAAAATCAAAAATTGAATATCGTTAAAAACTTTGATTATAGACGCGAGAGATGAAAAGATCAAAAAAGTAACATAGATTCTCTTTTTCGTGTTTTAAATTTTCATATATCAGTGTATCTAACTTTTAATTTTAATTCTATTTGGAAATTCGTTTTCCTGGAAATTATTCTTTATTTCTATTTTAAATACTCATATTTATTTCTCCCACTTTCAAAACACGAATTCCTATATCGTATTAAATCAATGCCTTGTCACGCGTGTATACCTAGTTCCGTATTTTTCCTTATTTCACACGAAGTCTTTATCGGTCGCAATTCACCGTAGATCGCACCTATTAATCTCCCTTCGAGCTATCAATTGCCCAACCCAAAGGTACACTTCAAAATATCAAGTGTCGGAAACAGTTTTCGCTCTGAAATTCAATCCTCGTTCTTTGGCGTCCTTTGATATACGTAGACACGCGTAGTATAGTACAGGAAATAAAATGTAAGTCGAATTACAATATTTATTTGTTATATCTTTTTTAAATTTATAGAATATAATATCAAAACAATATCCTGAACTTGGATTCTCAATTCCTCTTCTTCTTTCACTATCTGTCATTTTTTATGATTATTATAAAAAATGAAATAAAATTAAAATTTGCATCAAATACTTATGGCTGATTGCAAAGTTACAACTGATAAATATCGTAATCGACGAGCGTGATTTAATTATGATATTTTAAAAGAGAGAGCCAGCCAGAAGGACCGTTTCAATTCAACGGTCCATAATAGTCGTACAAGGTACGAGGGTAACGAGTACATATGTACGTCAATTAAAACCGACGTACACACAAGGGGCCAGCTGCGGTGACTTACCTCGAATGCAGGGCACAGCTACGCTGTACTGTGGGGAAACTCGAGGTGGGAGGCGGAGGTGGAGTGCAATATGCCGGTGGTAATGGTGGATCATGTCTGTGAAGATGGTTATGCCGGTGACTGTGAGAGTAACTCAGAGAACCTCTCAGACTGCCGGGCAGATGGCGATGCGGCGTTGATTGATCACTGAAAACACAACGAAATAAAATGTTTTAAAACTCTTTTTTACTTTCTTTGGTTTAAATTTTAGCAAAACAATGTCAAAACATTAGCTTCATATGTCAGGATATATTATGTTTTATAAGATCATTGTCTATAACGTCTATATTTTTTTAAATTGAAAATTAAGATATATCGTAATTTTGAAAGAAAAACGATGTGTTCGAAATTGATATTTCGTATCTCGTTTGAACACGCGCCAAGAGCAAATGTAGAACAAAGAGAGTAAATAGTAGAAGAAGGACAGAGATATGATAAAAATATTGAAATCAACGCCATCTTCAGTGTGCCGCAAATGAAACACGTAAATAAAGAACAGAAAATAGAGAAAGAAAGATAGAGATAGAATAAGAATTGACTATTACCGCCATCTCTCGAGTATTAAAAGATCTTTCGAACAAATTGTGTTTTTTTTAACAATCGACAGATGGCGCTAATCTTCAATTCTTGTTCTACTTTATCCTGCCTTTCAAAAGATGTTTTTGATAGTCAAGAGATGGCGCTCCATTCCTATTTTATCTCTGTTCTATTATTTACGTGTTTCATTTACGGCACCTAGAGATGGCGCCAATTCCCTAATATTTTATCTTATTTCTATCTTTCTCACCTTATCTTGATCTATAAATACTCCGATGCGATATTTGATTAAAAATTAAAAAAAAATAAATAACATTTGCGACTTTTATATGAATTTAATTATTCATTCTTTTACGTTTTATTTAAATTTTCATGAAATCATCAATACTTTATTATTTGTATTGCACATATAGATATTATTTTATTATTTTATTACTTTATTATTATTCTATTCTATTCTATTTTCTGCAGTAAAATCTTTGTGAGCATTATTTTTAAATCTAAAAAAATTAAATTCCAAGTATATGAAACATGATAAAATCAATGATAAATCCTAAAAGTTCCCAAGAAATTTCGTTTATAAATCTTATCATAGATTATAGATACTATCGTACTCCGATTACGATATCCGAAGTTGTATGTGAAGTGCTTTACTTAAATGTAAATAAATTTAAAATATTATTTATTTATATAATTATTTTTATATAATTATATATTTATCATTTTTATCATTTATCACGATTTTCCAATTCGAAAAACCATTATTAATAATTAATTATCTTTAAATAATAATTAATCGAGTTTTTAAAAATTAATTTCGAAATATCGAACATAAATATTCGATATTAATTATTTTAAATAAAAGTAATTACTTCAAAATTTCTTTAAAATAAAATGTTTCATTTTTGTGTTGCATATATCTTGAAAAAATAATTTTGAATAAATTAAAATATTTTTTTGCTTTTCAATTTCAAGTAAATCTATTCACACCTGCTAAATAATAATATGGACAAAGGAACTCTTGTTACATCCGGTTACGGCACAGTAACCCACCTGAAATCCCCTCGACATGTTAATTCCCACGAAACAACGTTACAGATAACGTGCCAAGCCAGGACAAAAAAATACATATGTAGTGTGTCTTGTCTTGTCGATTCAATGATAACCACTTCCAGTGTGATCCAAAAATAACGAAACTACATTATTTTTTTTCTATTCTATATTTAACTATGTTGGAAAAATAGAATGTATGTTCGTTGTGAAATATCAATTTCAATTAGAGTCAGAGATCAACTCAACAAATAACATGAAATAATTTTCCTTAAGTTTTCTCTATTTTTTTTTTTTTTTTTTTTTTTTATCATTTCGTTTAATTACATATTTCTACACGCACCAGCAGAACATAAAAAAAATTTCAAACACATCCACGTTATCTCAATTTCATGATTATAGCCATTATACATATCGGTGTAAAACAGTCATTAAAACTTTCTATTGCAAAAGTATAGGATAAAACAAATATAATCGTATTGTAGCAAAAACTTGCATTATGAGCTCATTCATTTTATTCACATCTTCATTAATATTATACAATAATAATAATAAGCATGAAATATGTATGAATACATATAAATATATATAAATATAATGAAAAATGTATATTAGATTGTAAGGAATCTAACGATTTAACTTCAATTTTATTTATCATTATTCTGTAAAAATTAACATGAAACCGGAAATGTCGAAAGGGCTCATCGAGACCTCTTTGGGAACAGTCCCTCTCTTATCTGGCGTCAAACACTTTAACCGACACGATATCGTGTCGACGGCAGATAAAAAAGAGTAAGTATACACAGAAAGCCGCCAGAGGGACAGTTAAACTGGAAGTTACATCTGCTCGACGCAAAGTGGCAGTATCGCATCTTTGATTGTATGTACTTTTCAAAAAGTAAACGAAGAACGCGATAAATTACGAATTCATTCGAGCCGCTTTTTAACGCGAAATAATTTCCATAAAAAGGAAAGTGGCGAACTAGTATTTGAAATAGCGTGGTTACTAAATCGACTTGGAATGCATGTATAGTGTATACTTAGAGGTTAGCTACGATGTATCAGAAACTAAATTTCCGGAATATAAATTATTCGAGCTTAACTTCCGGATCCTTGAAGTACAGTTCAAAGAGTTTTCATTCCCAATTAAAGAAGATATATATGTATAAAATTTATAAATATTATAAATTAAATAAAAAATTGCTAAACTATATAGAAGTTTTTAAATTTTTAATTAAATTTTAAATTTTTAAAATTGTAATTTTAGAATAATATTAACGTGATACTTTTGATAATATCAATCATTTGAACGAAATTTTATTTGAACTGTTAACTGAAAGTTATTATTCTCTATAAGCAAACATTCCAAGCGTTACATAAGCTACCGAACATTTGTGTTTCGAGTACTATCAACGAAGGTTATGTGTCGTATAACTTCAACGGCGTACAAAATTAACTAAATATTAACTTTCAATTACTATCTTATTATTTAAAATTTCATTTGTTTCTCTATTTAATTCATCAAAAAAAAAAAAAAAAAAGAAAAGAAAAGAAAAGAAAAAAATTAAGACGACGAATATTTTCAACCATAAAAAAATCAAATATTAAATGTTGTATATTGAAAACTAACTAGGGTTCGTGTTAAACGTGACTTTTTAAAAAGAAAAGAAAAATGAAGATTAAAAATATAGTCAAGATGTATACTTGACCAAGTTATTAAGGAAAGCCATTTTCCACGTGTGATGGATCGAATTAACTACCACGGTTTTTTATCGATATTGCTGCAGAACGATATTAATTATATAAACGAGGAGGTAAACTTGCACGAGTCAAGTTTCCGGTCGCACGATCCTGCTTAATGAGAACCCAAGACGTCGAAAAAAAAATGAAACACTGTAATCCTATTTCGCCTGGAAAACGTCATCATTACGGTATCGTGTCACGATGAAAGTGTTAAAGTAGAACGTAAATAGTTATTCGCCAGAGAACAGATGGAAAGATAAATTCGATTCTCGTTTATCGTTTTCGATAGAAATCGAAACCATTAAATTTTCTAGTGGTTTCGAGAAATGTTAGTCCTGAATATTTAAAAAGCGTGACACACGCAAAGAGTTTAACTTTGAATGATTAATTATTTTAAGGTAATGATCGAACAATGATCAATCTCAAGGCATGTAAGAAATTAACAAAGGAGAGAGTTTTTTGTAAAAATGATATGCAAAATATTGTTCAAGGTCAATAATATTTTGAATATTATCACATTTTATATCTTAATGAATCATGGCATTTAATTAAATATTTTTTTTTTTAATTTTACTTTATACCAATTTTTATTTCATAAGCGTAAATAAGTAAAGAAAATTTTTGTATAAATAAACAACTTTAATATTTTCAATTACGTAAACACGGGAAAAAATATATTTAAAAAAAATGTGTGTAATGTCTCGTAACGAAATTATTAAATCAGCTTGACGAGATTATGATTTTTTTTTACTAAACAATTTTTTTAAATAAAATGTATTTGAAATTATATTCAAAAGAGTGAATATAACACCTATAGATCGCATGTTTCTGAAATAAAAAATAATACTATGGAGCGTTATAACTAAACATTAATCATAATTTGCGAGTAATAAAAAATGTCATTGTATAAAAGAATAGAGAAAATTTGGGAAAAAACAATCTTCATTTGAAGAAAATTTTTGACGAAAACGAAAAAATAGAAAACAAAAAAATATTTCACGAGATAGAAAATAAGAAACTTTAAAATTTTAGTTAAAAAGTTTAATAAGAGAATTCTTGTAATCATTGCGAACATAACCTCAAAACTGTAAAATGAGAACAATTTCATTAAAGATATTTCTTTAAAGTAGTCCAAACAATAACGAATTTTTTATTTAATAAGTAACGAAAGTTTTAAAAGAAAAATCATAACACAGAAAAAATTATTCTTGAAGAGTACTCGTTGCAACTACTGCATCGAAATATTTCAATAAAGCGTATTTTTATTGACGTCATTTTTCATCGAACCTAACCTAATTTCGCTCACGGAAAAAAATTAAAAGACCTTTCACCTCTCCTTACAAATGTAAATATAACACATTTTATAAGCCATTCTTTGAATTAATATTTTTCACATGAATATTTTTTTATTAACATAACATCGAATTGCTAATTATCTCCATACGCGTTACTTTAACCACTAGCCGTAATAAATTTGAAATTTATAAATCAATTTTAATAGCGACCATTCAAGAACAAATTTCATTAACGCATATGAAAAAATATTCATTCTATTATGATGAATGCTTTCGAGCCAACTTGTACATTCATATGTTTTCATAAAAGCAGAAATTTTTAAACGTATGCACGTATGTTCGTTTTACTATAAGTTTTCCCATAAAGTTTTACATTTCAGTTTTTCAGAAATCATGTAATTTAAAAGGAAATAATTTTATTTTTCATTATTTTATCAACTTATTTCTTTATCATTATTTAAGAATTTATCCAACATTATTAGACTATGACAATACTTGAGAATAATTTGTCAAATTACATAATTTTAAAATATATATATGAATTTGCACTATAATTGTTTTCTTAATTTATTCTAAATCAATTTTGATTTTATTTTTTTCTTTTTTTGATTTATTTTAACTATCAAGTATCACATCAAAATTGACTCTAGAAAAGAGTTTAGAATTCTAAAAAAGAATAGTATTGTCATATCATAAGTAATTTTACAATACAAATGATTAATTTTAATTTGTATTTTATCTTATATACAATGAATATTTATTATTTATTATTAGAATAAAAATATATATATATATACACAGACACACATATATCTCTAAATATATTCGTTTGTGTATAAAAAAAGTAAATTCTAAAAATAAAATAGAGCATAAAGAATAAAGCAATATTAAATCGAGGGCTTAACGAATAAGCCAACTCGATAGATTAAAAGTTGCAACTCTTTATTGACAAACATACGTTATATTTCTTTTGTAAATTTAACAAGCGTTATTTTTGCACGGCCAGATCTCAATTCATCATTTTTTTATTTAAGGTATGTTGCAAAATATGTATGTACGCAAAAACAATAAATGATAGGGTGGCAACTTCAGTTTCTTGTTAATCTCCTTGGATTATGTTTTTGTTTACAAGAGAATGTTTTCCTTTTTCTTCGAATTGTTTCATTTTAACTAATTGCATTATTAACTAGGTTGCATTATAATAGTTGGTTGCATATAGTATAAATATGACTAGAAAAAATGTAATTACATTTTGTAAATTTACTGGTATTAATCAGTTATTTTTATTTGTTGTTAAAAGAAATTTAAAAATTTGCAAAATTGGAAATATAAAAATTGCAACTTTTAAAAAAAAGTTAAAAAAAATTTACCAACTAATTTTTCTATATCAGTAGTCTTATATTTCACGAATTCCAATGTCGCGCTATACTCTTTTACTTTAATTTTAGCAATATTATTTTAAGATTGTAGTATTCGCAAGAAAATCACGGCATCTCAAGGGGTGTCGCGTCCCCCATGAAAAGAACTCAAAGTAGCTGCTAAAAAACTCAACGAAACGCCGTGGCCAAGTTTAGTCAAGAAAGTTCTATACTTGACCTTAATGGCGTCAGTCCAATGCCATAAACTTCGCGGTGGTCTTAACGTTTCTCTTTTTTCGTTACATATATTCATATTCAATATCCAGCCATGAGTTCCTCGAGAAATATATATATCCAATAAATATATATTCAAATAAATCAAACGTATTTTAGGAAATTGATTTCAAAAACACATCTACAAAGGAATACAAAACTTAAAGTTACGTTTGCATTGAATTTTGGATTTGCTGCAACATTAAAACTGCATTTTACATCGAAAGACGTACCGTTGAAAGGAAAAAATTCGAAGAAAAAATTTCAATGGAGACAAAAAATTGCACTTTTAAATGAAATAATTTAAAAAAAATAAAATTATTTATATTAATAAAATAATTAAATTCTACAAGAATAAAAAAAATAGAAATATTCATAATTGTATCTTAAAAAAATATAAAAACATTGAAGATTTACAAGTTCAAAAACCTACTCTGTATTGGATTTCGTATATTGTAATCCAAATATAAAAGAGAAATAACAAAAGAAAGGAAGAATATTAAATGAGAAATTAATTTTCCTTATCACTAAAAATAAAAAGTTCACTTCGAATTCAAAAGTTTCACTTTAAACGCACTCTCGAATAGTATAATACAATCATCTTCGATTTGTATAAAATGTTAATATTTCTAGAAACGTTTAGAAGAAGAAAGGATATAATTATCTTATTGAGAAAGAAACTGTCAGTAAAGCAATATTCTATTTAAAATAATAATAATAATGTTTCTGGAGGACGTGATGTATTTGGAGAAATTAATCCAGAACATCAATATCGTTCAAGTAATCTGTCGATGATCGTATCGAGCATCGCAATTTCGCTAGGTCCGCCATAATCCTCAAGATCCAATCAGAATATATGCCTCGAACCATGGATGGAATGCGATCTATCGCAGCGGAAGCGCCACCACCAATTTCGCTTAGGAAACTTGACAATGCTCGGAACTCACCGGCAGTTTTAACGGTCTGGAACGAGATTTTTCGAACACTTGCGCGAACACGAAACGAATATGTTCCAAGTCAAACAATCGCGGAACGCAACGTTTCTCTCTTCTGTTGCCTGGATGTACACCCTGTTACCTGGATAAAGCTTCCCGGAAGGAATCCAATATTTGTGCATAGTCGGACGAAACTTGAAAAGCGTTCCAGTTGAAGCCAAATATTTTCAAATATTTTTGATAATAATTTTTTGAAATAATTTTTCATTTTTACATTCCTTTCATCGTTCAGTTTCTTTACATATTACGATGGCTACAATTCTATTTATAATAAGATTCTTTGATATTTCATATCGATTTTGTGTAATTAATTCTAGATTGTCTCAAAGTTTAATTTATTGGTTGATATTATAAATAATAAAATGTTATAATAATAATTTCTTAGATTTATGTTAGTATAATAGAAGATAAAAAAATTAACTAATCTATAGATTAAACAGATTACAGATAATACTTAGATAAATTTGAGAAAACAATGAAAGAGAAGTGTATCGTAATATCAGAGTCACATGAAAGTTGTCCGGATAAAAATGTTCAACAGAAGTATCGATACGTAGTTATTGAAAGCTTAACCTCATTGTTTTTGCAATAAACGTTAACTCATCATCAGACTCGAAAATATAATCTAGTTTGAAATAACGTAGAAAAACTTTCTTTTCGAAATACACATAAACGTAAAATAATTGAAAAGTTGAGTTTTATAAATAAAAACTTTAAATTTGATATTATACATAATAATGGATTTAAAATTAAAAAAAAATTATTAAAATGCACTTTGCAAAAAATAAAGGAAGTTTTTGTGATTACTTCGTTAAATGTTTGTCCGAGTTTATTAGTTAATAGTTCACTAATTATTGTTATTTTGAATTCAGATTTTAGTGACGTGTTAACAACAGTTTATAACAATGGAAAGTTAATTATTTTCTTTTGCGTGATCCACTAAAGTAAATATTTCAATTGAAAAACAATTACTACAGAAATGAATTTGCTATATGTGATAATTGAAAAAATAAATTAATTAGAAATAAATTATCCCTAAATCGAAAATTATTTGTTTTTAAAGAACATATTTAAATATTTTATCTACAAATATTTTTTTTGAATATTATAAACAAATATATCAATTTTATAAAATATTATTGCTTGAAAAAAGATTTGTTCCCTGATTAATATTTCTTTCGATTATATAGCAATAAATTTAATAGCAAATTATATATATTAAAATAATCAAGTAAATAAAATAATCAATATCAAAATAAAATAAATACATGCAAAAAAAGAAACTATACATTATTTCCAATCGAACTAAGCAATTATAAATAAATATTATTTCCCATTCTTTTCAAAATCTCTAAAAACGGAACATAAATAATAAAAATAGAAAAATACCCACGCGTGTTATTATTTATCGAATAGTTATCACTTGCACAAAAGAGAAAGAGAAAATTTCCAACATATTTCCAACATAATTGCGTATTTCGGAATCGAATAATCCAGGAAATAAAGAGAGTCTCGCTTCCATAACGAAATAACATTGAATACTCTCGTTATTCTATACGTCGAAATACACTACTATAGTATATACAACTATTGTATCCGTGGAGTAGCTTCGAATGCGTTAAACACGCTTGGGAATCCTCAGAAATGCACTCGAGCGTACCTGTCTACGTTGTTGTTCTTAAAGCTGACCATCCCGCTCTCCAAACCAGCCTCCCTCATAACCACGCACTTTTTCGCACTCTTTATGCACTGACACTACACGCAACAACTACCGAACGCGATATCGAGCATAAGGATCCATGCACATAAAGAAACATCATCACGTGTAACGAAGAAGCGACAAACAACGAGAAACGTGTTCTTCGCACCGCGTTTCCGGACCGACTGAAGAGGAGCCACGCTTCACGGCCGATCTACCCCCACCAATCTTCCCAGTCGACGCTCCCCACCACCGGTGTCTAATTGCAGCGTTCCGGCAACGGAAGGCCAGCTGACGTTCTTTTGTTGTCATTCTCGACTCATCTCTTATGACGACCGATCACGATCGGATACCACTACAAGATGGGTTGTGGAGGGTCACGTTTACTTGCTTCTCCTGACCACCCTGTGTGTTGGATGCGTGAGATATAAGACAAGAAAAAGTCACTGGAACGGAAGGATGAGGTTAAGTTTAGGTTATTGGATTTTGGAACATTCGAAAGTAGAAAATAATATAATTTGTATATAATATTAATAATCTGTTAAGAACTTTCGTTAAGTACTGATAAAAGATAGTCTCAAACTAAAGAATACAAAAATATAATTTAAACAAGAATAATAAAATTTAAGTAATTTATGTTTTTTTTCCGTCTTCTGCAATTACAAGTACATTATATCTAAAAATATACGCATGCGCGTGGGTCGTGACGCGACTTGACTTTTTGAAAGTAACGTTAATTTTCGAACTGTTGTCGCAACCGAAGGAAACCAACAATGCTCAGGTTCTGATATTACCCAGTTTGCAAGTCTGTGATTTTTATATTTCTAATGTAATATTTTCATTTAATTCGGATAAATTTTCAATTACATATTCAATATATGATTGTCTAATAAAAAGTTTTATAGAATTTTTTTTAGATTTACCCGTATAATTCAAAATGAGTCCTATTTATTTCATTATTAGATTTGATACAGTTCTCAATTTTTTCTTATTTTTTTAATTTTGTAAAAAGAAGAAGTTTTCTTATTAAACGGAAGTTAATGCTTTTTCTCTTGGAAATTTCATCGAAATTGTCTTTCAAGAGTTATAATAGAATTGGGACTCGATCGGTAACTCAATCGCGTTCTAACTTTCAATCTGATGTTACTTTGTTGCAAGACAAACTATATAAATTTCAACACTTTTCGATATATTTCATGATATTTTTGATAAATATTACAAATTCAATCCAATAAATTTTATCTAATTTAAAAAAATGCGTAATAGAAATTTCTCGAGAAATTATTATGCTACTTTTGAGACGGTTTACTTCTAACAGTTAATTTTACATTTTATCTAAAATTTAACGCGAACAATATCAACAGTATTTTACTTTTTTATCTGATGAATATTCGCGAGCATAATATGTGAAACGGAAATCCATCGTTATGAAATATTTCTAACAATAAGAAACGGATGAGTTTTAATGTATTCAGGCAAAGAGCCATTCATTCATTAATTCACGAGTACATATTGTTCCTTAGTAGTCAATTAAATTCATTTTGTGCATTTAATTGTTATAAATGTAATTTTACATATTATTAACATATATATCAACAAAATAAATATCATGAATGACTTTTTGTTTAGAGATTAGATCCACTTAATTTTTAAATTGCAATTTATCTATATATTATTCTTCTTTATGCATATTTAAAATTTAACTTTACTTTATGCATATATCTCGATTAAATGAAATCGTTCATGTTATTAAATAATTATTCGTCATTTGATATTATTAAAAATTTAAAATTATTATAAATCATAGAATTTTACAGAATTAATTATATGACAATATTAATAATATTTATGTAGATTCTATTTATTATTTCTATTTATTGAATAATAAAAATAATACAATTTATTGATATTTTTTTTAAATTAATCAAAATCTCTTAACTATTAAAATTTGTTAACTAAAAATTATTCAAATAATTACTTTACTATTTTTTTTTGAGATAATTTGGTTATAAACGAAGAAGAAAGAAAGAATTTTCCTTGGAAGGAAGAATTGAAGATTTTCATAGTTTTTAGCAATCGTGATTCATAAATTCTCCAATTGTTTCACTGAAAAAGAATGGAAAGTATGGTGTAACGATGCGAGAGATGAAGTAGTGGTCTTGAAAGATGATTCATAGTTTGAACGACGTCTACCTGCATCTGGAGCACTAATAATAGATTTTCAGTAGCCGGAGGGTAGTACTCCATGAACAGCAATTCTATTTCAAGAAGGAGGTGGCTCGTTTTACAAATAAAAGGCTTCATTGAGATGTCGAGTACAATCGTTAGAGTGAAACGATCTCAATCCATAGCTCTAAGATCCTGGCCAAAGTTCCCAATATCTCTCTCCTCTTGAAAATGGAAGATTTTGCCCGATCAAAGGAAAATCATTTGTTCTTCACGCTGCATCGACGAATGGAAACATCTCGTCTTGTCTACTCTAAATATTTGTCGATTAAACGAGAAGGACTCTTTTTACATGATTCTTAAAATTTTCAGTTTGACATAAAATTATTCTTGCAATCTTATTTTCCTTTCGTTTGTTAATTATTTTTAGTGTTACATTATTGATTCAAAAATGTTATCTATTATTTTGAAAAAATAATGATTATCTGTTATCCGATCCATTTAGAATTGAATATGATTCAAATAACTTAAATAAATAAAATGAATCACAAAAGTATCTATATTTTGTTAATTGTAAAATTTTCATTTCTTTTTATTTATTTCTTTTATTTTCTTTATTTTATAGAAATGTGAGAACTCAAAAATAAAAGTTCTGCATATTAAAATAGATTAAAATAAATATTTCTTATTAATATATCACTATAATTTATAAAGATATCACAAAAAAAGGAAGATGTGTCATTTTTTCATCCACTGTATAATGCATACCGTTCTTCGTTCTACAGAATTTGGACGTAAATTTTAAAACATGGTGCGTTTAGCCTGAATTCACAGCCATAGTATTTTAGCGGAAATTTACATCATAATTCCGAGGCTATCTACTTCACCAACTTTTGCAGCAAAACATCGTTTCCAAAACTCATTCCCCTAACTCATCTAGACATACGTAAAATATATATAAGAACCATTTCGAACAATTTGAAAAGATATCTCCATTTTCTTCATTAATGTATCTCGAAAACGAACAAATCTACTTACATTGTTATCAAGTTTGTTACCGACCGAGTTTCCTTCAAATAGATATCAAATCCACAGACAACAATACTCGCGTTTCCCAATAGTTACTATTAATCCTGAGTCACAATCGATTCCATCACAACTTGGCTGTCTTCATCTTATTTGAAGGCAAAACTTGAATCAAGCAAACACGCAAATTCGAACACACATCCCTGATATTAACATTCGTTCGAAAAGATATGGAAACACGCGAAACAGTCGGTTACAGTTAATTTGGTCGAGGCAGTTCGTTAAAGAACGCCCCCTAGGCGACGAAACAAAGGTTTCGAAGCGGCAGATCGAAGTTTCGTGTCACGTCGATCCTTTCCAGGAAGAATTTCTTTTCACGAAAACTTTTCAGACTGAGAAAGAGTTCCGTCCATGTAAAATTTCGTGGAAACGTCACAGCCGTTTCAAACTCTCCTGAATAGGGTTTAACCTATTTATAGGCAGAACCGAGACGGCGCAGTTTTAACCGTTTACGGTCGTGATGTTTAGTAATGAGAAGTTGGAAGGCGAAAGCGAGATGAAACGTGGTGCGTGTACGGATCGAGGTAAATTACGGGCTCATTGTAAATTAACGGTTGATTGGATGAGAGTTTCGTGAAAGTGAAAGAGAAATCTTAGGAGCTTTCGAGTATAATGAAGAAAAATAATGAAACATTAATGTTTATTTTCGTTAGATTTGATGAGGATAATATAAAAAGATTAAATTTTGATGAAAATTAACATTGTTAAATATCGAATATGTTACTAATTATTGATTACTAAAAATTTAAATTTGAATGTTTTTCGAAGAATATGTGTTTTCTTTAAGAATATATGTGTAAATTATGTTATTTTTACCTTGATATTGGTGAAGAGGTTAGAAAAGACAAAGGATACACAAAAAATCTATCGCACATTTTAACGTGAAACAATCCATATAAATGCATCTAGAACACTAGGTAATTAGAAATTTCTCATATTTTTTTTTTCCATACATTCTATATATGTCTCGTTATTGTAATTAATTCTCCGTGAAATTCTCTAATATCCCACGATTGGCGATTAAGTCGTATGAAAAATATAATGGATCTTGTTCATCGATCTATATGATCAGTCTATTAATAGAAATTTTATTTTAATAGAAATTACATTAAAAAATTTAATTATTTTCTTAATGAAATAGAAATTCATGAAATGAACTAATAATTTCTCTTATAATTAGATATCGACTCGCTTAACATAATATTCATGAAGATAATTCTTCTATTATTATTGAGAATAATTTTTTTTATTTTCATGTCAATTTTTTTGGATTATAGAAATTAATTTGAGTCATATTTTATCTAGCCAAAATGTTATTATTTTACAATATATAAAAAATAATTTCACTCATAAAAATTATTCTTCAAATCCTCTTTTGGATTACAATTAATCCAGATTAGCTTTTCGATAAAATTTGAATTTCTAGTTTCCTCTCTAAATATCTATTATTACAGACAATTTAATAATATTTCATAGGAAAAGTTCAAAGTTATTAAATCATAATGATGATATAACTCATAATGATAAAACTTTTGTAATATCATTATATATTCGAATATTATTAAATATTTTAGATTTCATTTTTTATTTTAAATGGGATCTACACCTATTATTCAGAAATTAAACTAGGATCTAAAAATTTTTAAAATTCTAATTTCTAATTCAAATCCATTACCAAATTGGAAATTCATTTCCAAATTAGATATTTTAACGGTATAAAAAAGTATTTCATATTCACTTTTAACTTTTGTAATTTCTTAATAAAAAAAAAATCTTATATTTGGAATGGAAACATGTATAAATCCAATATCGAATAATAAATTTGATATTCTATATTTAAATAAAAAATTATACTTGAAAATATTGACACAAAGGTTAATGTACCAATGTCAAAAATAAAAACAGAGTGTATTTA